AATCAACAAAAATATAATTCTTGCTATTTAAAATCAACTTAAGTTTTTAATTTATTTAATTTTTTTCATTCAAAACACACTTTTTTAGCAGCCCCTCCCTCTCTTTTCTCCTCAGCTTCAAGGAGGCTTGAGGCAGCTAACTAGGGTTTTGAGGAATTAAAGACAAGAAAAATACATTAAAGTGGTGTTATTGATACGAGTTGTTTGTAATAAATTTTAAAGTGATAGAAAATTAATAATAATTACAAATAAAAAATGATGAAGCGCAAATCTTATTATTTATGAATATTTGTGAGTAGAAGTGTATAATTCTTTTTATCATTGATGTTTCTTTAAATATTCTCCGTGATTCGAGAATCATATGTTTCTTTCCTAAATATTCTCCTTGATTTAAGAGTCGTTAGTAGCTATTTCTCGAATGTGAGATTATATGAACCTCCTTGTGGTACATAATATCCACTGCTAAGAACATTAGATAACACTTTGCTTTGAGAAAGACAGTATTTCATATCTTGATTTATATGTGAATATCCAAAATTTTATGAAATATTCAAGATGACTCTTCAAAGAAATATGTCACTACATACAAAATGATCATTAGCGGCTATTAATTCTTAATTGTAGCGACAATTAACACTTTTTATATATATTCCTAAAGTCTTTAGTGATATTGGTTCTAATTACATTTAACTAATGCAGGTAAAGAATTTAACACTATTTATTAATATCAATATTTATTGTCGCTAAAAGTTATTTTTGCGGTAGCGTGTGTCTCTTTTTAAACAAGGGTAGGGTTTAGATACATTATTTCTTAAAAAACCCCAACTCGCCTCAAAATTTGAAGATAGATTAAACTCGTCTTATAAAGTCTTTTTTTAAATCTTATAAAATTTCGATGTCTACTCCACGAGATACTCATGAAGGAGAAAAGATAATTAATTTTCTTTTTCCTTCATCAAAAACGAGGGTATTGAGGGAATTAAAGACATGAAAGTGATCTTATTCATGATAAAAGATGTCACAATTCATATGAGGAGCAAAACATTATTAATTTTCTTTTCCTTCATAAAAAATAACCTTCTTTTTACATATATAAATATGTTGTCTAAATGAAGAAATATTTATTATTTTACAGCTATGTGAAAACACACACACATATAGAGAGAAAGCCTCTCTCAGCATCTTAAATAGTGCTCAACTGCCCTACTTTCAATTACTCTCATATCTACCCTACACCTTTTTTTTTCTTTTTTCGTGTGTATATATATTTAAGGCCTCTTATTTCTTTTTCGAAAAGAAGATGAAGAAAAAAAATATGAAGATTAATTAGTTTCACGGAGGTTTGACAAAGGGTTTCTTACAGAGTTCATTGGCATTCTGTCCACCTCCCTCGTTCTTTTTTCGAGAAAAAAAGAAGAAGGGGGGAAGCAAGATTTAGTGTGGAGGTGGGCATACTGCCAATAGAGCTGTGTTGGTTTCTCTTTGTAAAACCCTCGTGATACACGTCAAGTAAGATAGAGAGTGATTTGATCGTTTTACAACTTTTGATATGATGGTAAGTGTCTGGTTGTTATAATAAGTAGTATCAGAGTCAAGGTTATGGATCTAAAGACGAAGTTTATTATTTTCATGACTTTCTCTTTGTTTAATTCAGTTATTCTTTGTTCATTTCAATCCAATTTCTCTTTGTTGAACGGTTTCTACGGGGTACATGTAAGGTCTGTTTACATTTTATATTTAATTCTATTGGTGTAATTTCACAAGATATGTTGTTGTAGTACTATTAGATTCATATTTTTTTTCTTTAAATCAATAATTTTTTATTGATATAAATCCAATTACACATATTTTCCCTTGAAGGTAGACAAGAAGTTCACTAATGTGTGTTTGTTTGGAGCAATGACCACTTAATTGTTGTTATGTGATTTATAGGCTATAGATTCGAGTTATTGATACTTGCGTATATACATCACACCACCTTAAGGTTCGATTCTTAAAGCTTTCATGAATATATATACACGACATGATTTATGCATCAAATTGTCAAAAAAAAACTGACCTAATAATAGTATCATCGATAATGTCGTTAAAAGATATAAGAAACCCTAATTTTTGGTATATGTTACCTCCTTATATTTTTATGTTTATATATATATATATATATAATACATGTGCAAATCTGATGTTTTTTCTTCTTATGAGGCAAAGTTCGGATTGATAACAAACAAAAGATCACTCAACTGATAGTTATTTCGATTAAAAGAAAAACATTTTTCTTCTTCTTCTTTTCAATTTTGGTAAGTTTGTGTTTGTGTTTATTTTCCTTTTGGCATTTCATACAAAATGATTTATCAAGTTTTATAATATTGGTGTATTTTAACATGTTTGTAGTAATAATAGATACTCTAATATATGTTTTATTTTGTCAAATTACTAATTCTTTTTCTCATGAAATGTTATAACTAGTTTTTAAATTACTATATATATGTAAATACACTACTATAAGCTAAAACTTGAGGTATATATACAAAATATTTGACATGACCCAAGTCAAATGAGACATTACATGACCTTCTCCTCTTTGCTATAATTTCATTACGACTCGATGTGAGTATGTTTTTTCTATGTCAAATTTTTTAAAATATTATATTTTTGATAATCCAAAAGACTTAACTAATGTGAATAGAAATATATAATGTTTAGCGACATAAGTATTTTAAATTTCTTTTATTTTATAATTTTTAAAAATATTAACTTTATATTCAATCAAATACCGACCGACCGCAATGAGGTTAAAGCACCATTTTGGAAGGTGCAAAAAGACTTTTGAGCACACATGGTGCAGGTGAGTAATTTCACATTTTACATTATACTATGAAGATTATTGTAAAGTGTGCAATAAATAATAAAACAAAATAAAAAAAAAGAGTAGGCTCATGATTGATATCTGACATTTCCATTAAAGTATATTTGGCTATGGTTTTAGTCTACTTTCAAATTAAAGCAGACCAAATTAAATGCTTTATATAGTAGTTGTAGTAGTCATACTATGTGATTGAGTATAATTAAGTCCCTACCTACCCTAATTATTTCATATTTTGTTTTTAATTGGTTTAATTTAGTTTAATTTGATATGAAATCTTTGAAAAAAAATTAAAGAAAGTTTTTGAATTTTTGAGGACTGGTTGGTATATATCTCCCTTTGAGTATGTTGATTTTTGGTTTGTGTGGTAACTATTTCTAGTATATAGAGCTAGTTTGGTTGATAAAATTGGAGAATTTATTAGATGTGTTAGTAATTATGTTTGATTGCTTGAATAAGGAGATGGTATTTAACGTATCTTGTATATCGTTTGATTAGAATTTTCATCTTTTTAACAAGAGGTGAAGTATGTGTATGGCTTAGTCAGATATTTTCATAATTCAAATAAGATTCAGACGAGGTTGAGTTAGAATAGGTTTTCGAAAGTATGGTTCTTGGCTTCCCCCTTCCCCTTTTGAATTTTTTTATTTGTTGGGTGACCTCTTGTCCTCATGTTCGAGTGTTTGATAGCCGTTTAAGTACATCATAACACAAACCATTTTGTGTGTGGATTTTGGACCATAATCTTTTTTGTTTTTAGTGTTTTAAATAAGTTATTGGAAAAATTACATAAATTGATATATTTTAATAAATAATCACTGATTTTAGTGATATTTTTATTTATTACCATTCATAGCAATATTATGTTAAATATGCAATATGAATTAAAAGTGAATTATGTATGTAATATATACAAATTATAATTATTTTTTAAAATATATTATGTTTGTTTGGTAAAAATTTGACACATTGTATTATAAATGTATTAAATGTGTGATAAATGTAATTATTCATTATTAAAACTTGTATTATATGTGAATAATAAATTGTTCTTTATAATATGTATTAAACTTGTATTATAAATGAATTAAAATTGATCAAGTGAAAAAAAATATAATATCGCTATAAATGGTAAATATTTTTTTATTATAATATATTTATGTAAGTTTCCAAAGTTATTTGTATATCTATATTAGTTGAACTTTTAATATAATTATATAGTTTAAACTAAAGTTATTAAATTTTACCGTATAGCTTTGACCTGCTTATAATAAAATAATAATCACATTATTTGATGTAATCATCTTATGTGGGATAATATGGAATAAGAATACATGTATTAACACTGAGATTAATTATCAGAAACAAAAATGCTCTTAAAGTAATTATTATTGTATTACAATAATCCCTTTATTATTATTCCCACTTAACAATTCTTTCATCATTCATTACCAATTCACCATATATCCTTGTATTATACTAAATCACTTTATAAATAATTACTTATTATTAATTACCAAATAACAACTCTTCCATTATTAAAGTTACAAGTTCATATATACAATTAAGAAAAAATTAATACACAAATTTATACTTTACATCGAAAGTATTAAGTTCATATGAATCTGATAATCTAGAGCTACATATGCCCCCAAAGGAGCTTCTACGAACATCATCAACAACCTATCCCGAGTTATCTGACAACTTATCACTATCTCTGTGGGTTAAGTAGGTTATTTCCGATAGATACTATGTGATTATTAAATACTACTAGTCTACTACTAATAAGGAGAAGAAGATATGGGGTTAGTCTCTTGCCTCTCCCACCTAACGAGCGACTACACAAGGATACCTACTAGTGGCAGATCTAGAATTTTCATGTGTATGAAAGTGACGGAAGGAAGAATATAAAAAAAGACATGTGAACAATGAAATAGTCTTAAACACCCACCCAAGAGGCAATGGATCAGTCAGATCATTTGTTCATTAGGTGCTCTCTATGTTAATTTTATACAAATACATTTCAATTTTTACATAAATATATACTCCGAGACAGTTAATAGGTGTTTGAGCACCCGACGGAATAAAAATGGGTCCGCCGTTGCTACTACTAACCTTCGATTCTAATCCCCAACCATCACACTCTGCACATGATATTGAAGGCTAAAGATATTACACTGTCATATAGGTATTGTAAAATTTAAACAATGGTAGTTTAGATTACTGCATAATGAAGTTCTCTCTCCATAGTAATGTACCATGAGAACTCAGAAATGAAACTTAATATGATCCAGAGTCTATAAATTACCTTAAAGTATGAATTAAAAGAGTATTATACAAAGCATTATTTCGTTTATGAGCGCGCCACAAACACTCACAGAGATGAACTTAAATGATTAAGATCCACGAATCCAAAAAGAACTGCACGGTTACGTTCCTTAACCTTCACTTGATAGATAACTCTGCACATTCCAACAGGCCTTTTCAGTCTGTTGAACACCGATAGATAGAACGGATCATATATAAACGACGTACTAATTTCACATACCTCAACCCTTCCAACCACATTTCTGTGATTAAAGTTTCTCCTGGATAGACATGTAGTAGAAATCTGCCAGATACGCTCTTTATCGTGTTCTGATCACCTCCACAAATACACTTAATAATAGTCCTAACTGCAAATCCAAGTGTGCACAACCCATGCAGTATTGGACGAGAAAACCTACGCAAATGAATTCTAGACAAATTAGGAGATGGACAGTAATATGGTTGTTGATATTACCAAAACTTGCAAGTTCCCGCATGATATGCTTCACACTTAAGGAAGTAGCATCTCTAGTTCGACAAATGAATTTTCTTAATATTTAGTGCAAACAACGGGTGGTTCATGTCTAATAAGCACCAATAACTAGAAAACATTGCTACTACGTATCTCAAGGATGAAAGAACATAAAAGTTATTAGCAAAGAGTTAAATAGAGTTGCTCATAGTAGATTACCCTGCACCTTCTGCGAACTTTGGATCTGAATGCAATGGATTGTAATCACCAGATAGCCGATATAGCAAAGCCTGCATCACCGCATTAGACAAATCAAAAGTTTCCAATGAAAACAAGTACAACTAAAGAATTTTCAAGCCCTCAAAGACGATGAAATTATCAGAATTAACATGCCTTTGACAAGTATAGTCCTAAACGTCTCGAGTAATAAAAGCATCACATTCAAGGTACAGATACTGACGTTTACATTTTGCGTAACAATTAACCATAGAAAACAATAGGCAATTCATGTGACCTACCTGTGATGCATGTGTACATTCTTCATATACAGCAAAGGGTTGGCTTTTGGGAATTTTAGGAAAGGCAGACTGATTATTACGGTTGGTTGAGTACGAGTAAGGCTGAGATGACTTTGAGAACCCACCAGCACCCCTCAAGTAAATAGACAAGCTGCAAGTAGTATTGTGGTGTTTAAATATTAACTTCAACATAATAGCTCTAGGCATATCAGTTAAACTAAAACTCACCGGTTCATGCATAGCCGTTCACCAGATTCTTTCTCGTAACTCACAATTTCTACTTCAAGAACAGCTGCTTTACCTGTTGCAAATCAATAATTTGAAATTTGCATATCTTGTCTTATCATTGCTATATCTCACAAAAACATTTTGATTTCTGTCAATCTACTTCCGAAAAGTTTCAAAATTATATACAATTTATAAACCATTTGCCTCAAACTCAAATGCCTCTTAATATTACATGAACTTATTTAAGTTCCTGCATAGGTATTTACGTTTACTAATTATAATCTTACCTTTATCATGCAATCCGACAATACTCCTTTTATTTAGTATCTGCCACAACAAGAAGAACAAGGAAATAACTCATCCGGACTAATAAAAGAAAGGGGGGAGAATGATAAAGATAATTAAGTTTAATAACAAAGACGAAGATGTATTCTTTCAACACAAAACTATAATGATAATTTAAACAGAGTCGTATTTCAAGTGCTGCCAAGAAAGGCTCCAATTCCCTCAACTATGTTACGTTGTGTCCAGGTACTAGGATTTGTTGAAATAACAGTGAAAACACATAAGCTTTGGTGCGGATATACATATACAAGAAGTTAAGCGAATGTCACTATACAAAAGTTGGATGAAAACCAAGGATATAAGATACGTATAGGCTTAATACATCTAAATATATAAGCTTTGGGAATAAAAGTTGACGTTTGTAGATAGAATGGTGCTATTATATGGATAGAACATCTATGCAAGAAAGTTATAACTAATTGCACGGCAAAAAATCTTTTCTCAAGAAAATACAAATAGTTATCGAGGAAAAAGCATTCCCATATTACTGTCGATCTTCATTCACTGTGGATTATCTTCTGCGTATAAATTTAAGAGAGAAATCATGGTGTTTGGATAATTTAAGGAATTTAGCACCAGACACTTACGCAGCCATGGGAAGGAAGTGGCTTATAGACTTCAATGTATTGTTGGCCGTGCAGTAGAAGACGTGGATCAAATCTAGCAAAACGAAAGCAAAAACAATGTTCTTTAGCTAATATTTAGCAGCGCGTAGAGCAATTACATCTCTATTCTAATCAGAAGAACACACAACTTTTCTTTCTTTATCATTTCGTTGAATACATGGAGAAACATAAGCAACAACATTGCATCTTTAAGGAAAATTGGATACCATAGAAAAGGAACCGACCCCCCTTCCCCCAACCAAAACTGAATCAGGATATGTTCTACTCACTGCAAGCCTGGAAGCCGCTCCATTTGAGAAGGAATTCCAACAGTGAACAAAGTCGAAAAAGTTGGCAAAACCTACAACGACAAAAAGGCCAAAAGCAAAAAAATGCAAATCAATTACAGTAACGAATTACATTTCATCTCTTACACCTTCAAAATCCTGGTTAGGATAACTTAGTGACTAACAATTACGCCAATAAAGTACATACACTCCCTTCTTTTATGTGCAAGTATACATCAAGAGTCGTTAAGGATTACTCAAAGTATGACCTTTTGACGTTTTCTAGACATAGTAAATCGCTAGCAACAAGCATGTAAGGTATCTAAACCCTTTCCGAAGATAAAAAAAATTCACCTTCTCCATCACTACATCTAACAGGTTGGTCTATAGTTCGACGTAAACCATATTCAACTACACAAAAACTACCTGAATAAATTCTTGCCCATCTTGATGATAAACATATTTAAGTTCTTTATCATCAATAGCATCCTTTGTACATGCTCCTACACCAAGAGCATAAATAGCAGCATCCCTAAACATCACCAAAACCAAATAAAAATCCAAATTTTAACAACACAATCTGCATTCAAGCACACCCATTTACTCGAATTGATAAAATAAAACACGAAAAATGCAAATTACATAGAGACAGATCCAGGATTTAAACTCGATAAAGGCTATCATACAGTTTATCCCAATTAATTCAGAATTAATGATGAATCTTAAGTTAATCCCAAAAATTAAAGTAAACTGAAGAAATTAGCAAGTACCTTTCAGTGTAAGTATGTAAGCTCTGCAAATACCAAATAAACCAAGATTAGTAACGAGATTAAGCGAAATCAAACAACAAAAATGAGAACCCAACAAGGAAAAAGGATCAAAAACCTCAGGGAATTTGTGGGAAATGACTAATTCAGGATTAATTCCAGAATTTCCAGACCCTGCCATTAAATCTTATGAGAAAAAAAAAATCCCCAATTTTCAACAATTTTTTTTTTTTTAGCACAACAACAAATTGGTTATGGATTTGGAACTAGGATCGAGGTTGATAGATAATGCGCAGAGTTATGTCAGATTTCTAGCACAAGTAATATCAAGATTTGACTTTTCAATTGAATCAGATCATTAATATCACCAGTTTAATTTCATATAAAGTTATAAAATTTATTTAATTGGAGGGATAATTGATATTATGATAAATTCATTTTATATTTGGTTAGAAAAATATCACAAATAATTTATTTCATGATTAGTTATTTTGAAATCAGCTTTGACGGACATATTATATATATATATATTAAAGAACATGTCATTGTGAACACATAACATAAGTGTCTTAGTTAAAATATGTCATAATTCAAGTATATAAATAAAATTTATTAACAAATTTATATTTGTGTCGAGTGTCCATGAGATACAACTGGAATGAGTTGAAATATTTAGTTGTCAGTTGAGATATTTAGACGTGCACTTTTAAAGTTGAAATGTTTACTAGCCGATTAAGGCCAAATTTGAATATTTGTTCAACCATTGCAAGTGTAGATCAAGCTAATAGCAACATTATTCATATATGAATGGAGATGAAGTAGAATGAATCAAATTCACTCACTATTGTCATGATAGTAGTTTTAGAGTGCTTCACCCTTAACGGTTTTGAGTTCGAGTTCTGAGTATATAGAAAAATTTTGTTGGATGTGTCATTCCTGAATGAGCCTGCAGAACGCGATCCGAATTTAGTTAGAGCTTCAATGTGCACTCCGAACGCCGAGTGAGAAACCAAAAAAAAACTCGAAGTTGGAATGAACAACAGGGTAGAGGAGTTGGTCAACTCATTGGCCCCATGACCTAAAAGTTTCAGGTTCAAATCTTGTCCCCGCCTAATTACTTACCGGATCAAAAGGAAATTAGCGGGATGAGTCAAGTATATGGCTATTTAGTGATATACAAACATTTTTACTGCACACATTTTATGTATTTGTCTTCATTCAATTCAATCAAAGACGTTCATGACATAGAAAATCAGGCTCAGCAAAAACGAAACTATAGACTATTATGCTCCACCCTTTTTGTATCTCCTACTTTAGGGAGTAGAAATCAATTTGTGAACCCCTCTTTGTATCTCTCCTAGAATGTTTTATTTCCAACGATATGTTATAGCATAACTTCTAGTCGTAAAAATAAAGGAGGTAAACGTAAAATATCATGAATTTCACATCATAGTAATGATCATTGATATGAAAACATCAATTCAATTATTGTTTTTTTAAGACAATTAAAACAATGAAGATGGAACTCGATACAACGAAACGAAGAAAGAAAGAATAGGACCTTGAGTTAAGGTCATTCAAACTAGTTTGTGGTAAAACTAAACAGGACAAGTAATAAGCTTTTACTTCAATCCTAAGAAACTTTTGATCTGTGAGGTTTGTGTATGTAAGTCTCTTAATTTTCACTTTGTGCCTATGATTTTCATGAGTGTTGCAGCTTGTCTTAGAGTGGTCTTTTATGTCGACCAGCTACATCACCACATAGAAGAGCATTAATTGGAATTGGATATTCATCGCGCCAAGAAGTTGATGTTGTGTATACCCTCATGTATAACTGTTGTCCTAGATACTGTCGCGCCCAAAACTCTGATCTTAGGTTCCACATTCCCACATTGTCTAATGCAATGTATATCGCTGTCCATGACTTGGGATACACCTGCATTTTGCAATGATTTCTCGCGTTAACTTCTCGTTCTCATCATTAGCCAGGGCAAAGCAACATATGAAATTCTGTTTCTGTGTTTCAATCTTACCTGAGTTGTGATTCTTGAGACTGCATCACGAAGATTGTATTGTTCCCTACTAGCCGGACTCCATTTTCCTCCGTCCATGCTGCATTAGAAGCTAATTCAGAATGAATCCATACAACTGCATAACATTAGAAACGAGTCGTGTATTACTTACCCTACTACCCAAAAGGCATAGCCGTTAAGATGCCAACTCTGAACGATTCCTTCCTTGTTCTCGAATACAATCTCAATGAATGTCCTGTAGTCAGTTTGCAAAACAGATGTGTCGAGGTAAATTCCTTTACCGGTGGGAGCATCAGGTATGTTTCCGGGGGTAAATCCACCAATCTTGAAGTAGTCAGCAAGCTTGAGAGGAGTACCACTTTTCGTTGGCACAAAGGACACACTGTTGACAGCATATCTTTGCTTTCCATTAACTTGTCCAGCAGAATTCGCGAGCCTGATAGTTCTAGTCGTGTTGATCATACCATAATGATACGATCCTTGTGGGTTTGGCCTTGGTCCACTCGCGGTCAAGTTAGTCCTAAAACGAGTAACAAAGTTAAGAAAGCAAAACACACAACATGATCGAAATTTTCAAAAAAATGATGCTTCTCAGGTCTCACCTAATTGTACGAGCCTGGGTAAGGGACCAACCAATTTCGTTGGTTGGACCACCAGGGGGCGGGCCAGTGAATCCCTGGTTAGAATTGCTGTAGCGAAGTACACCAGTGGTAGTAAGGAGAATAGACGAGAAACGATTTGAAACAACAATGTAATAGTCCTTAGGAGTTTGATCAGCTGTGATGAGGACAGAGTAGGATTGTCCAACATGAACGTCGAGTGAGGAATACGTCTCTTGCATTGTATGTGTTCCTTCTACCTCCACCAATTTCATTTTATGTCCTTCGATACGAAAGTTGAGTGAATGTTCCAATCCAACATTTGATATTCTTAGTCTATAAGTTTTCCCTGTATTCATATACAGAGTTATAAGAATCACAAAAAAGTTTGATATTATTCTTCATATAAATAAGAAAAATCGCGATTGTTTTTACCTTGATCAACTGTGAAGGTAGCGCGATTAGGACCTTGAGGACCGATACCATTGATATGTAGAGCATCAACAAAAGGCAACTTGTGGTTTCTATCAAGTACTGATTTCAAATACTGCAACAAAATAGAAGTATATATATATATATATATCAAATATCTCTTCTTGCTTAGAAACCTCGTGTTAAAGAATGACACGTCCCACATCGATGGTTAATGAGATAGGTGGACTCCTTTTAAGGTTTGGACCATCGTCCTTCCTATAAGCTAGCTTTTGGAATGTGAGTTAGGACTAAGATCTAATCTCAGCACCTCGACACTTCTCAGCAGCACAGGTATCAGGTAACTATGTCCTTTGACACGCGATACAAGACATATATAGGACTTATGATTACTATACTTAATCTTTTAACACTGAACTTTTACGAGGGAATTCAACAGTTACTATATATATAACGAGAGAACGAGTCTAGTAATCATACCGTGTGATTACTCTTGTACCAATCACCAATAAGGACGGTGAAATCGCCAGCAGGTTCATCGAAAGGGACCGGAATTCCAGGCCTACTGAGGATCCTGAACCCTCCAAAACCACCAGAAGCTTTGTGGAATGCAGTTGAAGGGAAATAGTAAAAGCTACCTATTTGATCTTTAACTTGCAAAATGTATGTGAAATTCTTCCCTGGTGGAATTGGACATGTTGTTCCCCATACTCCATCTTCAAATGAGTTTCTCCTATTTTGTATTCCATTCCTATAAGTAATTTCGAAACGTATTAAGTAACAGCTCGTGTCTGACTAATTAATATCACAGAATCATAGATGTCGTCACGACAGAATAAGTAGAGACTAAATAATAGTATATGGTATTTTTGCATTTTTTGGTATGTCATTGTCTACTCATGCTTAACGAACTAACTTCAAGCCTCGATTCATTCTCTGCGAAAAGGAATGAGTTGATTCGCGATTTGTGCTCATGAACCAAGGTTTCTTTAAGTGTTTATCGAGAAAAGCTACTTTTTTAGGTTTTATTAAGATAATTTTTGTTACTATTCAAAAACACTTATCTTTTTCTAAAAAGTCTGACTTCAATATTCTCTAAAATAATATTATAAACATTGTTAGTGCTATTATTTAAATTCAAAATTAAATATTTGTGTAGTGAAAATGTGGACATATTTTGCTTTTTTACTTGTGTTGTTCACATGCACTTCACATGATTACCTACTCTTTGTCTAGTTTTTTTTTCTTCAAAATATATACACTCGTACAAGTTATATCATGTGACTTGCACAAATTATAAATAATTCAAAATATTGTTCAACTTTTCCTACATTTGATCAATACAATATTCTTGAATCTTGATTACATCGATATCGATGCTAGTTATAATTCGAAAATAAGTTGGAAAATGACTTAAAATTAGTCAAAAACGAATTAAATATCAATGAATGCGTTCGTTATTATTAGCAAGGGGGTTTGGTAGACATACATTATTAAATAACATCGTTAAACGAGTATGAAGAGGAAGGTTCGAGAAAACTAGTATTCAACACAATATCATTTCCAACAAATTTATGTTGGTCGTGAAATATCAATGTCTCAGCCTCTCAAAGCCAAACCAAAACATGAACAACAAAATATCACGTTTATGTTTTCGCGAGGCATATATCGTGATATTAATGATGTCACGAACAAACAATGTTGGTCGTGAAATATCAATGTCTCAGCCTCTCGAAGCCAAACCAAAACATGAACAACAAAATATCATGTTCATGTTTTCGCGTTGGCATATATCATGATATTGATGATGTCACGAACAAATAATTTTGACCGTGAAATATCAATGTCTCAGCCTCTCGAAGCCAAATCAAGACACGAACAACAAAATATCATGTTCTGTTTTCGCGAGGCATATATCATGATATTAATGATGTAACGAACAAACAATGAACAAATAAAAGAGGATAAAATTACCATGAAATAAGAAATTCCTCATCCAAATTGTTGAAGACATTGATAATAACATTGTCATTTGTCACAGAATGAATATCAGGACCAGGAAATTGCCCATTAATCAAAATTCCCTATACACAAAAAAAGAAAAAAAAAACTCAAAATTACTTAAATGACATTTTTTTTTCATATATATTTACTTGAAATAACATATTTTTCTTTTAAAAAAACCGACCTTTTGAGGTAAGCCTAGAGGCCAAATCGTTCCATAAGTAACATTCCATTCGAAGAATCGATAAGGACTCTCCGCTATTGTGTTCACAACTAGTAGTGCCACTAAAAACACCGCTAACTCTCGTTTTAGCAGCATTTTTTTTCTTCGCTAACGAGAAAAATTTCTGAAGTTTGAACTACGAAATGATATTAGAAGTTGTTATAGATTAGGAGGGAATTAAAGTGGACATGAAGATGTAGACATATGTGTGTATTTATAAGTGGTGTACAAATAGTTAAAAGTTGTGGGTAACTAGTGAGCAAGTGGATCATAAATTATTTTATTTATATAGATATTAAAAAAATTAAAGGAGGGAAATATTTTTGAGAAAAGGATTAAATTTTAAAATGGAGAATTATATAAGGGGCAAAAAGAATAAAGAAAAAGGATTGGATTGTCGGTGAGGAGTACATAGTGGATCTTGAAAGCAAAAAAAAGAAATTATTCAAATGTGGTGTTCACGGGACGGAGCAAGAAGTTTGAATATCGATTCGATCAAATTTGAAAAATTTTATTTAACGAATATATTTGTATTGATCAATTCATTAAATATGTATCAGTATCAAATTTAGAATTCGATTATTATCACAAAATATTGTTATTATAAACTTAAAAGTTTAAATAATCTTAACATAATTATTAATAAAACGTCTAAATCTTGACTTTGATCATCACTAAAAAGAGTAGCAAAATTGTTCACTCAATCGTGTGGCCCTAATCACATGCTTGCTGTTTTCTTTTGCTTGGTTCTAATCTTTGGCGCACTAGCTTCGATAAACGCAGTAACGAAGTCAGAAATTTTACGATAAATATCAATACTAATATTACAAACTAATGATTTTTATATTTTGATTTATGTGATAGTTAAAGTTAAATTGTAAAACAAATTAAAAAAAATATATCACGTAAAATGAAACATATCATGTCACACTATATACTATAAAATGAGGAATCAACAATGGACAAAATTTCATAGCTAAACGATAAAAATATTATGCTAATAATATTATTTAGCTACTTATTATAAGAAAATTTTATTAGCTAGACTCATTTATACTAAGGAATGTAAACAAAATTCCAAGATAATTTTATGTTTTTTAATTTTCTTTTCTCCTTGATTGGTGATAAACTAATAATCATAAAGTTCAAAATTTGAGTCAACAATTATATATCAAAATCCAAGCCAACTTGTATGACCAAATTGGATTTTAAATTTTTTTAATTTTTGAAAAGTCTTCCAACTGTGATCTGATCTGCATTCCCATTGTTATGTGTGTTACTATTAAATTAAGTTATACATAATTAATTATCATTTAAGTAACCTAATTATTATTTTTTACAATGTCAACTTAAACTCATTTCTTAATATATGAGTCAGATAATAGTAGTGGTACTGTTTCAATTTATGAGATACATTTTTTATGTCAGTTTAAACAAGAATAATATTTTTATTCAACAAATATGTAACATCGCTATCAATATTTTATTTCAAAGTCATACATTTCTCTTTTTATTCATTCTAAATAAGAATAGTTTTGAAATATTTCAAAGGTTCTTTCGTAATTATCAAATTTTATGCTTAAACAAATTATTTCACATAAATTGAATTAGACTGATACATTAATCGAGTAAAAATGTCAGGAACCTAAATAAGGAATTTGATAGTAATTCCATTCACGTGATGGATTTATATATCTAAACATCACATGAAATTGGATTTATCTTTCTAAATTTATTCAGCCAAAATGTAGATCTCTATGCACATTATATTATAAATACATTTTAAAAAATCATAGTCTAAAAAACTTTGAACTTGTTAAATCATATCTTACTGCACAAATATTTTGCTTAAACAAAATCTAGTAAAATAACAAGAAAATTGGACCCACAAAAGTATTAGTACTGTGGAGCGGTAACTAGTAAATATTATTTATTTTTAGTCAGAGATTTTAAACTCGTGTCTTCTTAGATACAGAATTATCATTTTTATAAAATGACTATAAATTTAATCGAATCTATATCTGAGCTTCTACCTCCCAGCTTTTAATAGTTATTTATATAAAAATGAACATAAAAAATCATTTGCTTTATGATATACACTAACCAACAAAATCATCTAAAGAGATGTGAAGATCATAATCCACATCATTTGTCACTAATTATAGCATACTTAGTGGAAAATTAGTTAATAATTTTGAATTTAAATTAAAGGCGGTACTTTGTTTTTTTCTCTCTTTAATTTCTTTAATAATTATTTTTCTTTTAGTGGTAGGGAATAATACTCATCCCTTTTCTTCTTTACTTTTTCTAATAAAATAATTTGTATATATTTATTTAAAACTTATAAGACAAATACAAAATTTTAACCAATTTTTATTTTATTCGATCGAATCAATATTAAATTACACCCTAGCTAGCTTCACCCATAATTTAAAGCACTCATTCAAGAAAAAGATGATGTTTAAATTTCTTTATTTCATCAGATAAAATATGTGATATATTTATAAATTACTTTTTTTCTGTTTAAATATAGCGTAACTGATTAAAAAAGATTATTTCTTCGAATCATTCCGATTTGATAATAACTTCCTAGGTAAGGAAGCATCTAACATGGATCTCAAGCCTATGTAGTGCATTGTCCCCAAATTACAAATTACAACTTACATGTGCCATAAATTGTATAGACTATCATATATTAAATTATTATTATTGTGCCATCTAGATACTTAGACTTTGCTACAATTACATCGATGATCCAGAAAATAACTTCAACAACACTACAAATAATTCCAAAAAAAATAAGTTTTAAAATTATACTATTTATTATTGTGTTTACGCGCTTCAAGCTAGGATTGAAACATTGAACACTTTGCAAGTAGGACATAGGGGCCGAGGCGGACCCACATGAAGTGACGGAGATAGAAAATTCGAGTACAGTATTCAGAATAGCATGAATTAGTGAAATTCGAACACAAGAGCACCTCCTCATTCGAAGGAGGTGAAATCACTGAGCTATTACATCTTGTTATATTAGAACGTTCAAAATATGTTATTTAATCATTTCATGTACCATTTTATTTGTATATACGATATTTTTTTTCGACGAAGAATGTCCAATTGGTGATACTCGTATACTCGTTAACTTTGAAAAAAAATATGATATACAATATATGTCCCCTCAAACATATTTGTTGGATTGTGTCATTTGGTAACTGTGTCCCTTAGGTCCTTGATCGCTTACTCACGATTTTTAACAGACAAGTAACAAGCAATCTAAAATAGGATTGTATGATAAATCAAAATTCAGTTTGCTCAAATTCAATACAACTCGCTTATTTGACATCTCCAACGCAAAGTGGTGCCCATATCACATGTCTACAAAACAAACTTCATCCAGTTATGTTATTTAATTCAATATAATTTATATGTCAGAACATCATACGAAACAATTTAATTATCCTATAACCAATATTTTCACTAATTAATACAATCTAAAATATGAAGATATAACTATACAAAGAAATCAAGGAAATTCAATATCTGTTAAAAATATATAATTAAATTTCATATTCAATGAAATTTTTCGTTTTTTTTAAAAAAATAAATCCCGTTGCACCCACTTGGCTTTGCATTAAGGTCACAACTATCAAGTCTTTGATTGAATGTTGAAAGTATACAACATCAACATGGCGCAATCAGTGGCAATTTAATGTATCACACGTATAAAAATGAACTGGAAAGTGATATATACTATGCTTTTCTTATATTCAATCATTATTTTTATACTTACACCATTTCAAAATAACAACCATTTTTCTAAAAATAAAATAAAATTATACCATATAGTTACAACTTACAACACCTGATTTTCAGTATGAATTCAAATTTTAAAATTTACATTCTTGGAATTGACTTTTTCTCATTAACTACTCCAACATCAAGATCTAAATCGTTTGACACTAAACCAAAAAAAAAAAATTCTATGAGGAGTAATGGACACGTGGCACAAAGTTCGAAACTCGATTAAAAACCCGCTCCTATATTTTATTTTATTTTTGATTTAATATTAAATTTTTTTTATCTTTTACCTTACCTAAATAAATACAGTATATACTCTATAATTATACATGTATAGTTTCGCGGGATTTAAGTTAGTAACCAATCATCGTATTTGGTGAACTAAATTTTATACGTAACAACTAAAATGCTACCACATTATGTTGATTTTAATATACGAGTGATTTACTTGTTAACCAGCAACCAAACGAAAGTGTATATATATATAGTCAATTCTTCTTTAGTATTGATAAGATATATAGAACATGCATCTAGACAGGAAGTCAAACAAAGTTCAAGTTCAAATTAGTTATAATTAATACAGCTGTAATAAGTTCATATAGTAAAAAAAAAAAAAAAACTTAAAAAGGATTGTACAATAGTAACAATTTCTTGGTAAAAAAGTAAAAAAGCTAAGGGAGTAAAAAGAAACTTGTAACATATCCAAAATTTAGATTTGAATTTTACTAAGTTTTTCTATTTAGAGGTTGAAATATGATATGTTAATACTATTATTCTATATGTCTAAGTTTTGATAGACGTCAGAGTTCTTATGTTGATGAGAGACGATAAATATCTGATTGACTAGTTGAAATGTTTTGTTATCAAACTTTGACATGCTTTGTGTCTGTGATATATACAACATCTCATCTCGATAAAAGCTATGTTGATAGGATTTTCTAAACATTACACTCTCGTATTGAATCCTCAAAAATATGTTATTTTTTAATCTGACACGTATATGTAAAAAAAAATACTAAGTCCGTCACTTTTCAAAACAAACTTAGGCCCATCTATGTTTCAAACCAAACATATGGGCATCATATATGGGCTTTAAGTGTCCATTGATAGACCCGGATTCTCAATTGCATTGAAAAGGGAAATTTTTCAAAATGTCAATATTTTAGCATTTAAGAGGACTCATTAGTAACAACTTCAATACTTAGTAAAAATGTCATTTTAGTTTGTTATGTATGTTTTTATTATTTATTTTTATTTAAAGAATATAATTATTTAATAACAAAAAGAAAATTAAGGGGGGAATATTTCAAAAAAAGGCTAGCATCCTTAATTTTCTCATCAGTTATATTTTCAAATTAAATTTAAATTTTTTTTTCTCCAGAATTTTTGCCTTTTTAAA